GATTGCACACATAACCGATCGGACACGGACTCGATCGGACACAGGCCCGATCGGACATATTTTGTATCGGGTTTGCGTATTTCTGTAAAGCACAATATTCTTGCAATGCTTGTGTCCAATAATGCGGTGTACAAAAATGCGGTGTCCAAAAATGCAGTGTCCAATAATGCGGTGTCCAATAATGCGGTGTCCAATAATGCTTGTGTCCAATAATGCGGTGTCCAATGATTTCGGTGTCCAATAATGTGTATCCAATAGTGCGTGTCCAATCGAGCGGTGTCCAATCGTTACGTGTCCAAACGGGATACGCCCTGTTCCATTGCCGAATAGGTTGAGACCGTGTTGTGAAACGTATACATTGGTTATGCCTATATTGCCATTAAGTTCTAGCGCCGCCGAGAAGTAGCCGAGATTCTCCACTTGATTGCCCGAAGCGCTGACTGCTGTAATTTTCGCTGGTGTTAGCTTGGGTCGTCCGATTCGCTTCCAGTTCTCCGTTGAGATCATCGTCCAATCCGAACCAGTATCGTGTTTCAATGTTACTGACACGCCATTGATTAACGGCTTGACGAACTTGCGAGTCGATTTCACCATTGTGATTTCACCTACTAATGTCGTTGTTTTGTCATTGCGCGCGCGGAAGGCCGCAGCCGAGTCGCAAAACCCCTTCTTGTGGCCTGTCTTCTTGCAATCGAAACAGGTCTTCTCCTTGAATTGACAATCTCGATGCCAATGCGCTCCGCCGCAGAAATAACATTTCGGTAGCGGTCGGTTGTCGCGAGAATTGGCTCTCTTTTTTACGGCTGCAATCTCCTGAACCGGACTAGGCTGCAACCGATGTGTTGAGTTTGTCCAGATACGCTAATCGTTGTGCTGTATCAGCGAGGAAGTCTAGCGTGAGATTGGGCACCGTGCTTGCGTCCTCCGCTGCGTTCACCTTGGCCTGGTGCTTGTCCGTCTTTTCGATCATCCTCTTCCTGATTTTGGTATGAGACGAAGAATCCAGCGCTTGTACAAACAATTGCGTCATCAATTCCTCGCGACCAAACGACTGGATCTCGAAATCTTCCGTTACCTTTTTTATTCGCGCGGCCAAGGCCAAGTAGTCTTCATCCGCTTTGATTTTGATCTGCCACGCACGGAATCGACGAGAGAATAGGCTTTCTTTCCTTCCGAATAGTTTGGTTAGCTGTTTGATTGTCTCATTCAACGTCAGCTCCTCCAGTTTCTTTGCCAAGACACTTCCCTCGAACTGCTTGTAGTCCTCCGCTGAGAGCTTTGCGCAGATAATGGCCGTTTTGTTTGCCTCCGAAATGTTCTTGCCTTTGTCCGATGCAAAGATGCGGTTTGTTCGTCTGATCCAGTGGTCGAAGGTCAGCCCACAGTATAACCAGTAGTTGCACTCTCTGTCGGCACCTTTGATCTGGGCGTTCTCAATTTTCCGCCATGTTTTTATTCGCGCCAACAGTGTATCAACGGTTAAAAGTGCCTGGGCCCTTTTCAGGATCGTATCCAGGAAAGGCACATACGAACTGGCATACATTATTTATTGTAAATGGAAATGGCCTATGAAAGAAAATGTTCTAATAAAAGTAATTAATGTAATTACTTGCTCCAACGTATAAAAGTATTTACCCATTATTCGTCAACACTGCGAATTTTTCAATGTCACACCGACTTTGCACTAACACACGTACAAAAATCCTGTGATTGGTCAGAATAAAAACATGTCAAATGCGCAGTACGGATCGGCGCGAACGTGAAACAAAAGAGCGAGTGCCACTACTGGTTATACTGTGGTCAGCCCCTCTTCCGGGGCGTACACGAACCTGTCGATCTGGCCTGCAATATCCTGATAATCTGTGGTCATTCGGTAATTTACTGCTGGCGCTCCTTGCGCTGTTGCTACTGTTGCCAAGTTCAAGTTTCCGATCCACGTCATTAGCTCTTTCTCTCGCCGCTCTGCTTCCCTATCCCGTCGCTTTGCCTCCTTTTTCTGCAGTTCCAATTGCTCTCTTATGAGCTCGTTTTGCTTAAGCAAGGCTGCCATAAACTCGTTTGATTCTGTCATACTCACTGGGTGAGGCAACCTTGTAGGTTATGAAACTCGTCCAGCTTTTTTTTGTTGAGTCCTTACGAAGTCCTCGTCGCCACTGTGATAAAAGACTCCTGCTCTGTCTATTTATCTAAATCAATGCTTTATTTCTTAATGGTACATAAGGTGCCGTTCGGGTCTTGTAACCCACCCGTTCGTCACGACAGCCCAGCGCCCACTGGCCCGCGAGCCCAAAACCACAAAACACATGTATACATAGAAGGGAATCAACCGCCAACTCACGTCGTCGCGTCTACTACACTTTGCCAGGGCGAAGTTTGGCGCCAGGCTGGTCAAAAGAAGCGGAACCACTGTGAAGAAGAGGTTTAGGAGGTTACTCCAGGAAGAGGACGATCCTGAAGCCTACAAGCCACGAGCCTGACAATACGGGTGAATTGGGCACAAGGGGGATTGACACCCGGTAACCTGTAGCAGCAGCATAGGAAGGGCAGGAAGCCGACCCCATACCCTGAAATCCACGCCGAAGAAGGGCAGGATCGCGCAGACGTGACTGGAGAGTTCTGCCCTCCCTGATTGTCGGGACGACAATTTTAAAGAGGGAGGGCTGCAGTGTTGTGCGGGTTGTGCCCGCGTTAAGATGTCCCGTGACACCCGTTGCGCGCCGTCAACTGAAGGGAGCCGCGAGTCGTGTGAAGCTGCGGCGAAAAGTACCCGCGGCTCGTTGCTAGGAGATGGACATCGGGATTGATTGCTTTGGGCTTTTGTCTCTGGGAACACCGTTCTGAGCAGGCAGCTTTGTATTACGCTCCGATATTAAACTGCGAACGTTTTCTTTAAAAATATCTTGTCTCCTTTATTCTCCCGTGGCGCGAGCGTACGGATTAACGGGAAAGTGCGTGAGTGAGTGCGGGTAACAGATGGGCGTGGAGCCGGCGCGTAAAGCGCAACAATAGGTTAAATAAACTGTAGATTTGAAGTACTGACAGTGAATTTTACGCAGCCTAAAGTCTATGCTCTACACTTAACGAGACAAAGTAAAAAAACGTATCAAATCATGATTTTCCTCAAAAAACCCCATATCCAAGAAGTTTTCCACATTTTTCCCCAGAAATTTCCTTCCCCAAAATTGTCCTCACTGCTCCCACTTTCTGGCTGTAAGCTTAAGTGAATAAAAGCTGATTGATTGATTGATTGATTGATTGAAAATTGTCCTCACTGCAGGTTTGGGCACGTAAAATACTCAATGTAAATTACACGGTTTTAGACATGTAAAATACTAGGTATTTTACGTCCTTAGTTTTTTACACATGTAAAATACGTCAACGCCGTATGCGCCCCTTCAGGCCGTTGCTAGAACTTCATTCTGGTTATTTGTCACATGTGTCACAGGCAGTGAACTCTATACATACTGGAATGAGTGATCTATTGTTCTGGCTGTTGCCGAGAGAGAGGTGCGTTTGGGTGAATCCTTGTCTCCTTCTAGTACTACCTGATTGGATAGTCGTATATAAATGACGACAAGAAGGGCGTCACTTATATGCGATTATCCAATCAGGTAGTACTAGAAGGAGACAAGGATTCACCCAACGCACCTCTCTCTCGGCAACAGCCAGAACTATAGATCACTCATTCCAGTATGTATAGAGTTCACTGGTCACAGGACTCACAGGTCACAGGACTCACAGGACTACGTTTACACGGGGAATCCCCGACGAGTACGATAATTCCTCATTTCTAGGTTCTGAACTAGTGCAATAAGTTAGAATAAGACAAATATATAAAGAACAGGCCATCTGTTTTCTCCTCCTTTGCCAGCATTATGCAAGAATCTTTAATACTGTTTTGATAATGTTGACACTTGACAGTTTATCATTGCTTTTCAAGGTTAATACATAACTTATCTATAATAATTAAGAAATGAGTCACATTGGTAGACCTACTCATAATTTTTGGGAGAAAGGTGGTTATGAGCGGCGTAAAAAAGGCGAAAAAATAATGGCATACTGTTTGATATGCAAGAAAACTCTTACAAATACTGCGAAAACCAGATTACAAACACACAGGTAAGCAAAATAATTAAATAGCGAATAGTAAATAGTAAGACAACAAAAATGAATGAATTAGTTAAAATATATTTGGAATTTTAATTTATATTTGCAGAAATGTTTGTAGAAACGAAACGGACTTGTCAAGTGCCCTTCAAAGTCCACAGTCTGCTGAAAAATCCATTTCAACTGACAATAATGAAAATGTTATGGAAACAATTGATTTGGAAAGTATCCAATCAGCGAGTATCGCAGTTGATGCAGTCACTTCATCTGATCAGAGAATATCCAAATACGCCAAAAGTTATTGCTATAGGAGTTAAAGATGCTCCGAAGGTTCCAATTCTTCCTGATTTTAATATGCAAACTCTTTCACATCAAGAATTTAATCATGCAGTGTCAACTACTCTTCCACATCCGAAAAAAATGAAAACTATGCAACAGAAACGCAAATTAAATTCATTTATTGATTATATTTCAAATCAGCAGAAGACCAGAATTGACGATACTTTGGTTAAATTTTTTTACGGATATAATATTCCTTTAAAAGTGGTTGAATCAAAGCTTTTCTTGAATTTTATAAATGCCATACGACCTGCGTACACGCCACCATCTGCAGAATCGATGTCGAATGATATTCTTCATGATCTTCATGCAGAATTTAGGAAACATCAGTCAACTTTCTCCCATTCCAATGGAATATTAGTCATCACAAGGACAGAAATTAAACAGACGTTTCACGTAATTGGTTTCGTACAAAGTCAGTACAAGATATTCGATTGCTTAACACAGATGAATGCAGCAAGCTGTGGATCCTACAATGTAACATATTCTTAACTGCGTCTATTGAAAAGGAGCTTGTCGATTTGGAGTTTGTTGAAAAAGTTCGTTATTTGCTTGACCAGTTTTCAAGTAAGGAATTACAAAAGGACTTAATAATACGAGGAGGAGTAGCTTTCGTGTTAGAAGGCAATTCGTTTTGTTATAACCGCGATCTATTTTCTGCTTGCTTGAAAAATTTACGTACTATGACACAAATGATGGGCGAGAGACAATATAAACTTAAGAAAGAGGTTATAAATATACTGGATTGATGAATCGTTTGAAGAAGATTTGAACCATTCCTTGGATTTGCTAGCCTGTTTACTGCATTGCAGAAAAGTGTGAAGAGTCGAAGATCAAGATTGCTGATGCTACAGAGGATTGGTTGATGCTGGCGTCGACCGAAAACGCATATTATAATTCATTTCAATCACGAATCAACGCAATATTGACACCGATCGCACTAGTAGCAAATCTTTTGCACCCTATTTATCGAGGCCACCGATTTAAAAATGATCAAAGTCGCATGAAAAAAGTAATGGAGTTTTTAATTAATGAATTGGATGAAGAGGGAATGAACAACTTTGTAAAATACAAAAATTCAACAGAAATCTTTGGTTCACGTCAACTTATGGATTACACCAATGAACAAATTTTTTGGCAAGCAGTTGCTCCTGTACATCTAAAATTATCCTCTTTCGCGATACAAATTCTGCAACTTCCAGCTGCTGCACCAAAATTAAAATCCTATCCCATTAATTTAAATAATTTAACTCCAAAAAGATTGGAAAAGATAACGGACTTATTTTATCATCTAAACATGTAAATGAAAACATTAATTTCTTGTCATGAGACTATGGTTAGAGCTTATATGTAAGAAATTTAAAGTTAAAGAACTAATATAAAACTAATAATACAAAAATATTTTATATACTAAAAATGTTAATTTACTTTGCGTTCTTGTTTCTGATTATTTTTGTTAGTGGAATACCAAAAAGCGCTTAACCGTTATCAGATTAGCGATTAAGATTGAAATTTAGTTGAAATTTTACCAATCAGAGCAAAATTCATTAAACTTGATATTGGTCTTCTTATGCTGATTGGTCAAATTTTAATTCAATTTCAATCTTAAAATCGCTAGTTTGATACGGGATAATGACAGTTATTATTTAATTTAAGTAAACATGTTTATTTATTATTTAACTTTAAGCGCATTTAACTAATTTAGTAATTACATGATCTTAATAAATAATTGTTGTGAGACTGGAAAAAATAATAGTACAAACTGTTTTAAATAAAATATAATGTATTTTTGAAAAACATTGATTTACAGTCTTGGTCTCTTTGTATAGAACTTAAAAGTAATTCTCAGTTTTTTAAACAAATGCTATATATTTAAATATATGTATAGAGATATTAATCTGATTCTATCAAATCATCGTAATAATTATCAAAATATTAATTCATTTTTAAAGTGTAATAAATATCAACCAATTTCATAGACCGGTCAACAGTAAGACGATTACACAAATCTGAATGAACAAAGGCCGAGAAAGAAAAGAGTCGTTCAAGTTGCGCTGAAGCAGCCGGAATTTTTAGTAATCTCTGAGCAAGCGATGATAGGTGAGGACAGAATGGTTCAGCTGTGATCCAAAACGTTTCCGGTAATGTAATATTTCGCTTCTGCAATTTTTCAAAAATACCAAGATTCTTCTGATATGAATCCAATCCCGGTTCATCAGTAATAAATTGTAAATTCAATTCTTGTTTCAAAAAGTCAAAAACCATTTTCATGTTTTGTTCATCGTGTAAAAATCGTTTGGCCCTGTACTGAGGATGTAAAAAGTTCGAAGTCAACACAATTGGTGTTAAAACTTTATTCAGTCGGTTATCTAACTTTTGTTGCATTTCATCATTAACTGTCGGAATTTGTAATTTTAACCATTCTTCACACCCCTCGGCTATACTGCAATCAGATTGCTGACAGATATTTATCAATTGACATATTGGGTCAAAAATCAAGATAAAATCCTGTAATTGCATCGCAAATGAGGGATCTTTCAGTAGATTTTCGCTTTTACTATCTAGTTGAACCTTTTTCTTAGCAACCAATGTTTGCATCAGACGTAAGTTTTGTAGCAGGCATCTGAATGCATCTCTGTAGCTACACCACCTTGTATCACATGCTAAAATAATTCTGGAACCTCCTTGTTGCTTTAATTCATATTCTGCACCTGGTGTCTTAAATGCTCGCAAAAGGTTATTTACTTCCTTCGCAAATGTCTCTGGCACAAAGGCCTTTGCTAACAGATTGCCACTGTGGCTGTGACAAGTAGTGTGCCAAATGTCTACTTTTTTTCCCATCGACATCATTGCCGATGCATTATCTGAAACCACAGCATATGTATAGTGATATTGAACTTTTTTTTTGCTAATTTCTTTCCTTCGTCGACAATTTCTTTGAGTTGATCACCAGTTTCTTTCAATCCAGTTAAATCCCAGGATTTAAGGAATATGCACTTGGAGTTTACTGTGTGAATTGTGCATACCACATTTTTTGTATTAGCTGATGAATTTTTCCATCCATCATTCAATAGAACGCCATCGGATCCAAGAGATGAGACCCTTTCAGCCAATTATAGATTCTGGTAAACCTTATCGAGCAGATTTGTAGAAAGTTTTTTCCTTGTTGGAGGTTTGTATGTTGGAAGTAACAGTTTCACAAAGGTTTTAAAATATTGTGATTCAACAACGTTAAATGAAATGTTACACCCAAAAAAAATTTAGCTAATGCTAAATCAATCTCCTCGTTAGCTGTCAGCGCTTTCATATGCTTAGATATTGATAATTGTTTGGATACTAATCGCTGTTTTTTTGGATGAGGAGTTGAATATGTTGGCTGTAAAGCCTGTAAATAAACAATTACTTTAATTTTTCTCAAACGAATGAAATTTGAAAACATGTACATGATATCGTTTTTTATTCTTGATTACTTACCTGATTGATTCTATCTTTGGAATTTATTTTTATTTTTTTATAACGTAAAATTCAAATCCGTTGACGGCGTTAACGACTGAACCGACTGAACCGACTGAACATGTGTTAATTTAGATGGGGTTATGAGGGATTCACACTGCGGCCGATGTCCGACGTATGACATCCGATACCCAATAGGAGAGCACGTTTTCTAGAGACTCTAGTGACTAGTCTCTACTCTAGCAAAGAAGACGTCTGTCGAGTGTCGTACTGTTGTGTGATATTAGATATTAGCAGTGCTAAACCTAACACCTAACACTGCTAACGGGACTCTTCCAAGTTAGATAGTTTTAGACATGTATATTAATTACGTTTTATATACATATTTGACGTAATATACACGTTTATTACGTGTAACGTAAAAAACCCTAAAATTTGTCAAATGTCCCAACCCTGCCTCACTGACATAAAAATTTCCCACTTTGGGGAAAAAATCCCCAATCTGCCAACACTGCATGGCGAGGGGATAGCGTGGATGGCGGTGCGGTGAGAGGTGGAAGTGCGCCGCCAACCGATGCTAGATACAATGGGCCGTAATATGACTCGAGCGTTTTAAGTTCGTGTTACTATGTATTGCGGATCATGGATTGGATTGAGATTACGGATTGTGGACCACATTTCAGCCAATTAGACGAGACAGTCTCGGATTCGATTGGTTGAATTGCGATCCGCAATATGTAGTATGACACGGGCTTTAGGCATTCCTCCTGCCGTCTCGAAGCGCTCTTATTTGCCCGACTTTAATATTCAATATCCAAATTATTGTTGCAAATATTGCAATACGGCATGGAACTTTTTGTTTATTTCAATCCGTTCTACCTCCCCAAGATAATATTCATAGGGAGACCTTCTATTGGACACGTAGCGATTGGACACCGCTCGATTGGACACGCACTATTGGACACGCATCATTGGACACCGAAATCATTGGACACCGCATTATTGGACACAAGTATTATTGGACACCGCATTATCGGACACAAGCATTATTGGACACCGCATTATTGGACACCGCATTATTGGACACCGCATTTTTGTACACCGCATTATTGCAGGACACAAGCATTGCAAGATTGGACACTGCATTTTCGGACACCGCATTATTGGACACCGCATTTTTGTACACCGCATTATTGCAGGACACAAGCATTGCAAGAATGGACACTGCATTTTCGGACACCGCATTATTGGACACCGCATTATTGGACACCGCATTATTGGACACCGCATTATTGGACACCGCATTATTGGACACCGCATTTTTGTACACCGCATTATTGAACACAAGCATTGCAAGGTTGGACACTGCATTGGGATTGTCCCGATTGCGCACATAACCGATCGGACACGGCAATATTTCCCGATCGGACACAGGCTCGATCGGACACGGACTCGATCGGACACAGGCCCGATCGGACACATTTTGTATCGGGTTTGCGTATTTCTGTAAATCACAATATTCTTGTGGGCGTATGGACTTACAAATAATGGAAAATTATCTGCTTTACAGAACAGTTAACCCGGGTTAAATATATATAAATATTCCGACCCATCTAGAGTCACAGTTTGCCTTAAATTTCATGTTATAAACACTTGAAAACCCATTAGAATGTCCGATCGAGTCCGTGTCCGATCGGGCCTGTATCCGATCGGGCCTGTGTCCGATGGAGCCTGTGTCCGATCGGTTATGTGCGCAATCGGGACAACCCCAATGCAGTGTCCAATCTTGCAATGCTTGTGTTCAATAATGCGGTGTACAAAAATGCGGTGTCCAAAAATGCAGTGTCCAATAATGCGATGTCCAATAATGCGGTGTCCAATAATGCGGTGTCCAATAATGCGGTGTCCAATAATGCTTGTGTCCGATAATGCGGTGTCCAATAATGCTTATGTCCAATAATGCGGTGTCCAGTGATTTCGGTGTCCAATAATGTGTGTCCAATAGTGCGTGTCCAATCGAGCAGTGTCCAATCGTTACGTGTCCAAACAGGATACGCCCATGGAACAATGGAAGCGCTGAACTTGTGGGACGTTCCAATTGCGGCGGTGTGCAGCAGCATCACGGACACGCATACATCCCTAAAGAACGAGGTGAGAAACAAATTTCTCAAGTTGTTCTCATCTAAATTGGGGAAGTGCAACCAGACAACCTTCTCGCTGACACTCGTAAAAGATGCCAAGGTCCCCTTTATACGTGCTCGTCCGGTACCGTTCGGAGCACGGAAACAGATTGAGGACGAGCTGAGACGATTAGAGGAGCAGGGTATTATCTCGCAGATCAATTATGCCGAGGCAGCCACACACCCATTGTGGCTGTCAAGAAAAAAAACGGGAAGGTGCGTATCGCATCTGACTACTCGACTGAATTAAATCGAGCACTAGAGCCCTACCATTACCCTCTACCTACCCCCGAGACGATTTTCGCTTCACTATCAGGTATGAACACCTTCAGCAATCTGGACCTATCAAACGCGTTTCTGCAGGTGGAGCTTGGGGAGGAGGCGAAGCGATACATGAATATCAATACGCATATTGGACTATTCCAAGTGAATCGCATGCAACCAGGAGTCAAGACGACGCCGGGTCAGTTTCAGCAATTAATGGACTCCATCCTGGCTGGATCAGGAGCAATGGCATATCTTGACGACATTATAATCCCAGGCAAGGGAGTGGAGGATCACGGACGTCGTCTGCACGAGGTGCTCAGGAGACTGGAGAACGCTGGTCTCACACTGGCAATCGACAAATGTACCTTTGGTCAGCCAGAAATCAAATTCTTGGGAAAAATTATTGACGAAAAAGGACAACGCCCGGATCCTGAGAAGCTGCAAGCCGTCCGAATCTTACCACAACCTACAGATGTGACCCAATTGAGGGCCTTCCTGGGAGCAGTAAACTGGTACGGATCGTTCCTGCCACATCTCAAAGACCTGCGAGGACCGTTGGACGACATGTTGCGAAAAGGAGAGAAGTTCCTGTGGACGAGGGAACGAGCTGAGGCTTTTACCAAGCTCAAGCAGGCACTACATGCCAATCTGGCGTTGACGCATTACGATCCAAAGAAACCTCTTATCGTGGCGGCTGATGCGTCAAGCTATGGAATTGGGGCCACGCTCCTTCATCCGTTGAATGACGGATCCTTGAGACCTGTTGTGTCCGCGTATCTTGGCTGTCCCGTGGGCAGCCCTGGGCAAGGAAAGGAAGGCACACACAGACTTGTAATAAGCGCACTACCTTTATTTGGTATCCTACACGGGAACCGTACTCGTGGCCGGCCGTACAGAGAGAGAGTGCCTCTTCGAGGCGCAACGCCTGTATACCTACGCACGCGCCGTCACTACTTCTTCAGTGCGCATCCCGCAGGATGCGCGCGAAGTATAAACGCGCTCACACAACACTCCCTCCGCTTAGAATACAAACACTTGGGAGTATTGTGTGGTTCTTAATCTAAATCTTTAAAAACCACATAATCTTTGAGATGCAACGGTAGCTTCCTGGTACGTACAGGTCTCGAAGTTTGCGGAGTCACGAAAATTGAAGTCTCCGAATCCTCCGGCGACTGTAACGGCGTCGAAGTCACTAATGTCCCAGACGGGGACGTAGAAGGAGAACTCGAAGAATCTTGCCTTAACGAGGCCGTAATTGTAATAGGAGTAACCGGCCCTTCAGAGGCCGTAATCGTTGAATCTGTAACATTGCTCGAAACATTTTCTGTGACGCTAGGTAATCCAGCATCCGAACTAACTAAAGTCTTAGAGCAATTTGCACTAACGCTTAGAGGACCGGAAACGTCGAATTCCTGCTCCTCTCGCTTAATCGGTGTATGAGTACCGATCAATCGCATTTGATTCACATGGCGCTTCCATGTACGCCCGTCATCTAATTGTACCTCATAATGTAACGTACCTAATCGCCGTGTCACAGTACCGAATAACCATTTGTCGTTACCCGCGTAATTACGACAACTAACTCTCCTCCCCTCCTCGAAGGAACAAGGCGTACTGCCTAAATCAGACGCAAGACTAGGAAAAACATCAGTACTGGAGGGTCGCAATAAATCTAATCTTGTACGTAGTTTACGCGAAAATAACAATTCCGCTGGAGATTTACCTGTTGCTGTGTATGTAGGTAGCCAGTGTGGGCTCGTGGGTATGGAAGAGACGTGGGAATCGTATTTAGGAAGAAATGAGACACTGGTATAGCTTAACACTATAACAACTATACTCTATTGCTGAGCCGTTACATACGTCTGGATTGTACGGTGGTCCAGAACGTTCTCTCTCGAGTCGGGGAGAAGCCGGTAGCATCTTCCCGTAACGGTACGGTCACGTGGCTCTGCGCGCATGCAGTGCCACCGCGTTGAGCCAATCGTAGGGCTCCGCTAATCGCAGACTGCTCGGACAGTCTGCGCGCTCGCAGCTGTAATGGCGCGTTTACATGAACGCCGCCCAACACTCCCCTCACTTATGAAATGTTCACGTCGCGTCTATTTTAACTTCTTAGGCATTACACAATCTCGCAAACGCAACGGTTGCTGAATCGTACGTGAGGGTCTCTTAGGAGTGAGATTCTCCGGAATAGGTTTCAATGGAGACTTTAACGGAGGAGAAGGTTTAGGCGTACTTGCCTGGAAGGAACCTTTAGGCGTTGAGTAGATTGAGGAATCTAAACTCTGAGATAGAGGAGAAAATGACGGTGCAGTCGGAGTTGTCACGGAACTCCCGCTCGCATTTCTTACTGTAATATCAGTCTCGTTACCTGGACTAGCAATATTTGTACTATTTCTTATCGTAGAACTATCACTTGTACTTAAACTATCACGCGTACTATTATCACTGGAACTTACGTGTTCCTCACAACCATTATTGTTTCCGCGTACAATCTCTGGCGTAGCGTAATCTAACTCTAAATAGTCTTCTGAACTACTCGGTGTATTCTCGCCAATCTTTCTTAACTGATTAACATGGCGTTTCCATATTCTGCCGTCATCTAATTTAATCTTATAATGTAGTGTACCTAGTCGTTCACAAATTCTACCGAACAACCATTTATCTGAACTATTATAATTCCTCGCACTCACCCTCTCTCCCTCCGTGAAGGAAATAGGTGCATGTTGCGCGTGATGTTTACTAACGAACGGTTTACTTAAGTCTAAACGCGTTCTTAGTTTTCTTGCAAATAGCATTTCTGCAGGTGTTTTTCCCGTGCCTGCATGTGGTGTATTACGATATTGCGTTAACAATTTTTGTAAATCTGCCTGTACAGTTGCATGTGTACTTTGCATTTGCTTTAAACTATTCTTTAGTGTTTGTACGTAACGCTCTGCTTGCCCGTTCGTCGCTGGATGATACGGTGCAGTGAGCCTGTGCGTAATTCCATTTGCTTTTAAGAATTTTTCAAATTCTTCCGAAACAAAGCTTCTTCCGTTATCTGTAACGAAAACCCTAGGCAAACCATATGTTGCAAAAACTTGCCTACAAATATAAATTGTCGTATCAGATTTAATATCTTTAACAATGTGAATTAATGGCCACTTAGTGTAAGCATCTACAAGAATTAGGAAATTATGACCTAGAAATGGTCCTGCAAAATCAGCATGAATTCTTTCAAATGGTACTTCTGCTTGTTCCCATAAATGACTGATTTTCGGTGGATCGTTTTTAAACCTATTGCAATTCGCGCAATTTTTAGAAATTTCTTCGATATCCTTATCGATTTGGTTCCACCATACGTATCCTCTAGCTAAATGCTTCATACGAACTATACCGAAATGACTTTCATGCAGTTCTCTAAGAATTTGCTTTCGCAATTGAAATGGAATTACGACTCTGTGATTTCTGAATATCACACCATTTAATAAAGTAAATTCTACTAAAGGAACTGTAAAAAATCTATGATTTTTAAAATAACCTTGACCTGTTTTAAGAAAATTAAGAAGTTTGGATAACTGTTTATCCTTAACTGTAAATTTAGCTACCTGTTCTGCTGTGACTGGCAAAGTCTCAACAGTTGAATTTTGGAACACATCTATTGTTTCACATTCTAATTGATCTGGATTTCGCGGTATTGGCAATCGCGATAAACAATCTGCGTTCGCGTGTTGTTCCGATTTCCGATATCTAATATCGTAGTTGAAACCCTGAAGGAACAATGCATAATGTTGCATCCTTGCCGCTGTATGGTACGGTAAACTTTTCGTTAGAGAAAAAATCTGAGTTAAAGGTCTGTGATCTGTGATCAACGTGAATTTTGCCCCATGCAAGTACTGATGAAATTTCTTTATCCCGTAAATAATCGCGTATGCTTCTTTATCAATTTGGGAATAAGATTGTTGAGTTCTAGTCAACGTTTGTGAAGCGTATTGTATCACACGTTCTGACCCGTCCGGATATACATGCGATAATACCGCGCCGACGCCATACGGACTGGCATCAGTCGCTAAGGTTATTGGTAACCTTGGATCAAAATGCACCAAGCATTTAGGACTTTGGAAAGCCTTCTTTGCGGCCTGAAAACTTCTTTCACAGGCTTCCGACCAATGAAATTTAGTCCCCTTTTTTAATAAATTATTTAACGGTTGTAGTACTGAACTTAGGTTTGGAATAAACCGGTCATAGTAGTGTATCATGCCGAGAAAACTTCTCAACTCGGTAATATCCGAAGGTCTGCGCATTTTAGAAATGGCTTCTACCTTGTCTGCTTCTTTTCTCAACCCGTTTTTATCAATAACATACCCGCAATAGTGAATTTCATTCATTAGAAATTGGCTCTTCGAGAAGTTAATACGGATATTATATTTATGTAAGCGTTCAAAGACTTGTTGTAATTTAACCAAATGATCTTGCATGTTTGTACCCGAAACACGTATATCATCTAGAAATACTGCGACTCCCGGAATATCTTTTAAAATATTCTCGATAGTTCGTTGCCAAATTGCTGGTGCTGACGCAACACCATACATAAGGCGTGTAGGCCTATACAATCCCCTATGAGTATTTAGAGTGATTAATTCTCTGTCCTGTGGTCGAACCTCTAATTGCAAATATGCCTGAAGCAAGTCAATTTTCGAAAAGACTGTGCCTCCCGCCATCTGAGTAAGTAACTCGTCCGGTGTTGGCAAGGAATGTACACTGGTCA